CAACAACAACAACAACAACAACAACAACAACAACAACAACAACAACACTACCAACAACAACAACAACAACATCAACAACAACAACAGCAGCAGCACCATCAAAACATGGCCGCTCTCGCTCAAGAGGTAAATACATGTGCTTGTTTGTTTTTCACCTTTTTAGTTCTTAAAATCTGGATTTCATGGTCTGTTTTTTACTTTGGATATATTTCGTCTTTGTATTGAAATATGTAGACTAAACTTTGTGCTTTGTATGATTTATTTTTCTTCTATTTTTTTTTTGATCATTGATGAGAATTCGCATTCATATTTTGATTAGCAAATTACACTAAAATTACACTCTAATTTCTTAGATTACTTTGACTATTCTCATACAATAATGGTGAATTTTGGTATTTGGATGTGCAATGTGCATGTTATGAACTTTGTTTTTTACGAACCATAAGTAATGTTTTCACATGCTTTTTGTGTCTAAACAAAATTTTCAAGTCCATACAATTTGTGTTCGCTTCTGCTGATGTGGTGATGGGCAATATTTGAAATAATTTTCTCTTTCAGAAGCAAAGCAAAATTGGTTCAGTCTGCAATTGGTAGACAACTTTGGTTGTAAATACGAAATTTTTGGAAGCTCATCAATCTCCAGTTGGAGAATCACGATCTCCCCTATTGAGCGATTACAAATATGAACGATTAGGACTTTGAACAGAAATCAAAGTGTGAACATGCAGGCAATTTCAAATATTTTGATACAAATGTATCATTTTTCAGACTTTTACTTAAACTCATGACCAAAATTGAATTCGATTTAAAATCAAGTGTGACCACATACCGAGGATAAAATATTTCACTCTTCGTTCTCAATGCCAAAATCCTCTGCGGATTGCAAAACGTTTCGACTGTATTTTATTTTTCTAAAAATAAACACATACGCACAAAATTGCACACAAATTCGAAAAATCCTCATCTTGATTGATAGTTTCAATCTGAAGCTAGGTCTGTTTAATCCAAAACCAAAAAAAAACAACTATTTTCTCTGTTCATTGAGACATTATCTTGACGTTTACAGCTACAGCAGCAATCGCAAAAGCAACAGGACCAAATCCTTCGCATTAAAGAGCAACAGGAACAACAACTCACAGACGAAATCAATCGAGCTGTTATGCTTCAGCGTATGCAACAAGCAGCAGCTCGACCGGGTGCTCAAATGGGAATGGTCAGTAGAAATAATAACCACAAACAAAAAAAACAAACAAATCTGTGTAAATCCTTTATTGCAGAGCCGAACAATTGACGCCAAGACATTTATTTTTCGCTTTATCAAAAGATAATTCCTGTATCTCTAACATGAATCAGACAAGGCTGACATTTTCACTGATTTTCCAAATTATTTACTGATTTTTCTTTGTTTGTGATTCGACATAGTAATTTTTGTTGTACTTTACACTCATTTGTCATGGATTTCGTGTACGGTCTTTTAACCTTATGAGCATATTCTTTCTATTTATATTTGGTTATTCGTATACTTAAATATTGCATTTTGCGCATTAAATTTGTTTACTAATCTTATTAAAAACAAATTGCTGTTGGAGAATTGGCGTCCTAAACCAGTTTGTAGGTGTAGTTTTTATATTATGTTCATTCGATACATGTGAACAGAATTTGTTTTTCTATTTAACTCGTTCAATAAGGTATATTTGAATATTTCTGGGTTTGAAGTAACAATATCAATAATCTTGTAGTTTTTGGTGGTGATAAGCGCAAAAAAATAACCAGTGACAATTTGCCACTGACAAATTTGTTGTTTTTAATTTTTTTCATTACATTTCAGTTAA